AAAAAGGTTGTTTAAAATAAACAAGAATTTTTAATAAAACATGATGTGAGCTTAATGGGAAAAGGGGTGTGCTTAAAGGGTACAAAAATGTACCCATTAAGCACAGCCAGACTTTTTGCATTTAATGATGTACATCTTAATTGAAATGCTTTTGTCATTTAAAATAAAATTACATATTTTTGTGTGAGAGATTAATATTTTATTTTAACATAACTTCTTGTTCTGAAACCAATATCTTGTGCACTAAACATGTCTCAATGTAGATTTTGGTGAGCTTAATGGGTACGTTTACAGCAAATTTTGACCAATATTGAGTACAAAAAATTGCATTATTTAATTACTTAAAAGCAAATGTTGTAATTTGGCTATAATGGGTCAGCGTTAACTATTTTGTTTTATTAACATCTAATCATCCACATTCTAATCATCTGCTTGTCTTGAAGGACAAAGTTCAAGACTTATCTCCAGGTTGTTTATCGTGCATAGAAATACAATGAGGACCTGCTCAGTCTGTTCTTTCAGGCGAAGAGTCAATAAGGAATTTGACGTCGAAAACTTTCTAATAATAAAGTTCATCATATCTGCTTATTGTCTGCTCACCTTCCTCCTTTATAGATCAGCAGGTCACCAGTTTAGAACAGCGTTTTGACTTGTGTTTAATGACAGTTTGTTGCACATACCACTAATTCAATTATTTAAACGCACGAGACACCAGCCACTCAATAAGGTGTTTCACATCAGTACATAAAATAAACATTCTGTGAGTGAAAACAGATAAGATGCTAACCTGCACCCCGACATTTGTCCCACACGACTATATTTACTTTGTTGGGCAGCTCCCTCCGCAGCAGACAGGCACATAAACTGCCTGTAAGTCCAGCACCAACTATTAGAACTCGAGACATTTTTAGAAAAGGTACATAAAAACTGCTTATGTAAAATAGCAAAGCGATCTTGCTCGTTTGAAGATCACGACTCGATTTAGCACCCTGTCCCTTTAAGAAGTATGAAAGGCTGAAATGTTTGAGTTGGCCAAGCAAAACATTCCCTTCGTTTTTCAATATTTTACTGGTGTGTATGCACAACATGTCCAAACATCAAAATAATAATAACATAAAGTTGTATGCAGGTTTTACAGGTACATTGAAGACAGAGTGTATTTATTATTGTAGCCTACAATTGGCTCAGTGACTACTGCAATGCACAAGTTATAATTTTTCATTCTCATCTAAAAAACAAACAAGCAAAAAGAAAAATAACCTAATGACGACGTCAGTTTGACAAACATTAGATTAATAATGGAGTGCTTAAATCAGGAAGAAAGCAGCTTTTACATAAATAAATCCCACTTCTTCAGAAGGGGGACTGATTGATTAAAGGCGTTCAAGAACAGTGATCAATCAGGTCATGATGTCATTGTCAGCTGATGTTAAAGCATTTAATCGCTATCAGTGTGGTCAACTCAACTGAGGCTCCACACTTTTGATTTCAGTACGCTGCTATGGAGGTCTCAACCGAAGTTGGGTGAGTTTCACTAAATGAGCTTCTTTTTTTTCGTTATTCAGTGCTTATGACCATTTAATAAACACACTCCATCAGATCAGTCTCGATCAGCTTAAAACGATCCTGCTTATTAATGTGCTGCAAGGAATTACGTTGTGGCAACTCAATGAATTAGCAATAAACGAATTTACTGTACGATGAAGTGTGTTACGATGAAGGTGTGAAGCTACTATGTAATTCATTACAGTGATTTAATACGTTTTGTTTGCACCGACTGACTTTCGTGCGTTTGTTATTATGTCAAATGCATTGGCTTGACTATCTGTCATTCAAAACCATTCAGATGTGCTAACGTTACGTGAACTGCTTTCGTTTTGTGAAAACGCAGGGTTGTAAAATTAAACATTTAAACCTTGCTTTAACTCATAGATATGATGGATACAAATAATATTGTCTATGTAATAGCCTACCTTATACAATATTTTTTGGTGACATAAATGTTTACATTTTTAAAAAAGTATACATTTGCCAAACATATTTTTGGATTTGGTTTCTGCTCTCATATAATAAAGTACAGTAGTGATGTTCAGCAGTGTTTGTTTTGGCAGCTTGTTTTCTGAACAAACAAAGATGTAGCTACATTGACCTTGTAATTTCATGTTATGTATCCTTACTTTACAGTCAGGTGTCACATGTTGAGCAACACTAAACAATCTATTGAGGGCTGCTGAAGATTAGCATAGCTTTTTAACACTGGTTTAGATTAGTGTGTCTTCTTGGGAGACCCTGTATGTTAATTCACTGTTTGTAAATGTTTGACAGAAAGATGTCATGGCTGGTGTTGTCTCTGGTTCTTACATTTGGGCTCATTCAGTGCAGGCCGCCTGTTGAGGACAAGATAGGACTGGACCCTGAAGTAAATATGAACATCGTAAGTAGCCAGTAGTTATAAATAACATGTAATAAGCTGCAATGAGTGTTCTTCATTACTGTCCAGCAAATTGTCAATAAGTGCTAAAACACCAGAGAATGAATTCAGGTAAATTGGGTTACTTTTGCCATTAATCGCATCGCAATGACATCCCATGAAGTCATTCAGCAACATTCATGGGGACAATACTGTTCATCAGCTATGGATACAATACTGTTTACTTTGTGAAAATGCAGAGTCACTGAATTTTAATATAGTGTGAATATGGAGCTTGTGCTCAAAGTAGAAAAAGACATCAATTTTATTCAAAACCCCAAGCTAAGAAAAAATAATGCAATTTTTTTTGTGCAGATGTTGTTATTTTTATGGCCAAAAATAAGATGAAATTCTGATAGCTTGTAATGTAAATCAATGCGATTCTTATAACAGCATAACAGACATACATAAAATGCACCATGTAGACAAAAATGTCAATTTTTCTAGCTTTAACTGCTTTAGCTGACCTTATGAATATCATGTCTTATTAAGTGAACTTTGCACAGCATTTGTAATATTATTTCCAGTTCTCTGTTTTGTCACATGCTCTAAAGAGAAGTGGATTCATTAGTTGACCATCTCTACTGTATAAGAAAATACATTTTGCACTTTGTCCTCCCATGATTCAATGTGGCTCTTGGAAGCTGAAAGCAGAACACATCATCACGTTATCTCTTGTAAAAGTGAATAGTCCCCTAGTGGAAAAAATATACTAAAATGTATTTGAAATACATTTACATATTTACCTGTATATGTGCTTAATAAAAATACCCTGTAGTTGTACTTTTGGTATACTTAAAGTCTGCTAAATTGGAAAAACAAATTTTGTGCTTAATTGTGCTAAAGTGGAACTAATGAAAGTATACTTCTGGTACATTTAAATACCTTGCATTTAAAGACTGATACCTGAAATCATACAATCCTTATTAATAGTGATATTAAAACACATTTTAGGCTTAATATTAAGAAATGTTAAGAAAAATTAAGTGTAATGTGCAATAAAGAAATAATTTTATATAAGTCTTAAGTGATATGTCAATAAAGATGTTAATGGATTTGAAGTACAGTATACTTAGTAAGGAATAAATATGTTTTAAGTGAATTATGGCATTTTATTATTATTATTTTATTTTTACTAGGGTTAGATCTTGGTTCATAAGTGTTTCAAATTATATATATTTTCTGTATGTGAGACAGGGAAGAGAAACATAATTCACCAGTTCAGCTATTTTTATTTTTCATAATTGACATTAGACAGCTTTATGTAACATATTTTCCCACGGACTCTGAAAGGAAATTGTACTCTAAGTGACATTCGTGCGCTTTCATGTGTGGTTAGATATGAAACAAGATTTCTTGGTTTAAATAATGATATCTCATAATCATTGTTTGACAATTTGCACAGGTCAAGTAACCATTTGCAGAAATGCTGATAAGACAGTGATTTGTTGGTTTTAATACAATAACTGGTTTTTATACTCTGCGTTTCACATTCTTGCGTTCACAAGCAGATTATTGAGCCTTCAAAATTTGTCACTTGGGCTTAAAAGAATAGTTTACCCCAAAATTAAAATTCTCTTGATAGGAGAATTTAAATACTCTGTACACAGTTATGTTCCATACAACAACAGTTTGTAGTGGCAACGTCTGTCTAGATCCATAGGCAAAAAAAGACAATCCATATGACTCCATATTCCATGTTTTCTGAAGCCATACAATAGCCATACAATAATCATTTTGTTTTCCAAAGAAAACATAAAAATGTACAGGATGATTAAAAAAAAAAATTACAGAATTTTTAATTTTGGGTGAACTTTCCTTTCAAAGTCATGATGTAACAGAAGTAGCAACAGATATTTGGATTATGATGTATATCTCAGCGAAAAAAGAATATTAGAAAAGGACAAATGTTGGGCAGGGGCTTGGTTCTATCCATCAGTTGTTGATTGGATGGAGACAGATCTGAATGTGAGCTTGCAGGCCATTGAAAGTAATTGGAGATGTTCATTATACATCATCAGAGAGAAGATTTACTGGGGGGAAAAAACTAAATAAAATAAAAAATAAGTGAAGTGTGTAATTTTTAAAGTGTGTAAATACCTATTAGTTAAGTGTTGCTATGTTGGACTGCTAAAAAGTGAATGAATGAATAATGTAGAAAGGAGCTCAGATCCATAACAAATAGCTTACTTATAGTTCTCTCTGCTCATTCATTTAGATGGGCAAAAGTATTATAAAAAAAATTACACTAATATAATAAAAATATACTTCAAATGATTTGGAGCTCATATATATTTGCTCTTGATTCCATGGAAAATGATATTCTTTATAAAATGCGGCTGTGAAGTTGTCCATATTTTCAGTAGGCCTAGGCTAGTTGGTCACATTCTGCATTTCATCAGACTTTCCTCTTGCATTTTCATTCCGCAGAAGTGCACGAAATATTTCTTGTTTCCAACACACACTATTTCTGCATGAAAAGAGGACGAATACGAGAGAGAGAGAGAGAGAGAGAGAGAGAGAGGCACATCCCCCAGTGCTTACTCTCCCCATAATGTGTGTTGAGCCAGCAGTGGGTTTATCCTTAAGTGGCCTAAAGTAGAATGAGCAGACAGAAGACCCAGTGGGAGTGGGAAATTGCAGAGCCTTTAATTATGCATGGGGAGATTGCATGGCAGGCCTGGAACCAACAAGCTCACACAGTTTCTTTGAAGTCTCTGATTATAATTTATCTCACATCTGGAGGAGGAGGAGGAGCAGTGTGACACCATACAGCTGAAATAATTGTGCTCTTGAAAAGACAAATGACTGAACTAAGAATTTAAGCTGAACTGGTGTTTTCTATTTTCATTACATTTAAAAATACTGCCACGTTGATGACATTTATTGTAGACCTTAGCAAAGAAGAAATGTAGCTATTCTTAAAAAATCCTTAGGCCTTATATTTCTTCTTCAAATGGATGACATTCTACTGCTTTCATCAGAATAGAACAATGCTTGTGCTATTTTGAAGTGTTGTATTTTCTAAAGAGAGAAGGAATGTGTTTGCTGTCCTATTTAATTTAATTTATCTTACATGGAGGTGTTTCTATTGATTTCTCCATGCTGTCATGGACTTTGCCATGCTCACTGTTGTGTTTGTCTCTTGTAGAGTGAGATCATCAGACACTGGGGCTACCCAGCTGAAGAATTTGAAGTGGTCACTGAGGATGAGTACATCCTGAGCATCAACCGAATCCCACATGGGGTCAAAAACAAGGATGGACAAGGTAAAGGTTTGAGCTGGTGTGCCAAAAGATTTGAATGAGCCCATTCATGCTTCTGTTTGGCTTAGGTTAGCATGAATTATTAAAGATGGGAGCTTTTTGTCCTCACTAAAGTGGCCGTCTGAAAGAGGAATGTCTGTAAGATGAACTCTGAATTCTCACATTCACTGGTTCACTGTGAAGCCATTACGAAACATGCACTGTCACATGAATGCACTGGGTGAGATGTTCACATCTGAACCTTAACATCTTAACATCCCGTGGTTTTTAATAGT